TAACGTTTTTAGTAGCGGAACGCGTTACAGGCCATGCTGCCGATTGTGAAACCTCTCAATCAGCAAGTACCTTCTTGTGTGGCGTTTCTTTATGAATACTGCCGTGTACACAGCAGTATTGTGTGCTTGACCAGAACTACTGGTGTACCCTGAGACGAGATACGTGGAAGCTGTGATATGTGTATGATGGGACGACTGGGTGAACGGATCCAAATGTTAAACCGAGTTGGGTGATTGCTTGTTCCGTTCACGTAGATTTAGTAAGATAAATTAAACCGAATGTCGATTCAATGTCGAACGAGCAGAGTGCAAGCAGCACGAGCATTGGAAATCCAGTTCTCGCTAGATATGTACGTTTTGCAGTGAAATTTGCTAGCAATTGTATTGATATCTCAAGAGTCTACAGCTTGAAGTTAAATTATCGCGACATTTGCTTGGGTGACTTGAGTGTTATTGAGTGTTTATTAGATACCACAGTGCATGTTTGAGCCATTCAGGGGGGGGGGGGGTGCACTTTGGTTTCCCCACCAGCTCGTGTAGTACGTCCACAAGACGGATACAGTAAACACGGTGTTTGGGAAGCTGGCGTTTCCGTAACTAGTTATTGCCGATTGTATTGCTTAGCAGAAAACAAAAGTAAAAGTGATTAGACTAAAACAAGTACCAGGGCCTTGCCGACTCACACTGTGAGCGGCAAGCTCAAGCAAAGCAGGACTGCTTGTGCTAACTGCAACTGCAAGTAGTACCAGCTGGATGTGACTGTAACTAGCATTCACGTCCAAAGTGCAATGCTTTCAACCTGAGCCCGACGCTACAGCTTGTAATACTTGGAGTATTAGTCGGGTATCTTACAGGTTATTGCGCCAGTTGTGCTACCGGTATAGCGAGCTAACAGAATGAATCAACAACTGGCTACCTACCATGGTACTTAAAACAATGAATTATTATATTATAAACATGTATTGTAAAACCTGTTGGAACGCCCATCCAAGAAAACCATTATTAAGCTCAAGTTTATCTTTTAAGTCGGAGTTGTGCTTTGTTGTAATAATGACTTAAAGTCGTACTTAAACCAACTCAGAGTAAACTATGTCTCTCCCATTCTGACACTCTCCCTTCGTTACGAACTTGCCAACCACGATATACTCTGCTGATTACAAGTATCGCGCGATGACTCTACACTTCGCATATCTGTGCCATGCGAGGTTGTAGGGCGCGTGTTAGGAGTATCTGGGTGTGCTGTTCGTCGATGATATACGCAGTTCGAGGAAACTGGCTACTTGCTACCAAAAGAGAAAGAAGTGCGTCCGGTGTACCATGCGGCTGTCGTGTCGTGGGTTCGTACACTAAAGACCACCCCTGCTTCTACGTCGAAGAGCTGCTGGCGGAGGTGAACGACAGTTTCCTCAGCAGCGGCGAGGTCTTTCGTCGACGTGCGTACTTCGTCTGCTCTGCCTCGAACTGAATCTTTCACGAAAGGTATTAGAGCGCCGTGCAGGAGAGGCACTGCTATCTAAAGTGGATACGTACCTAACCAAGTTGAGAAGTTTCTACAGCTATCCAGAGCAACTGATATTCTCGACGAGACGTCCAAGAACGGCGTGGATTCAATGAAGAGATACGCTTGGTCTACTAGAGGCGACAGGGCTGTGGTCCTGGTCCCATTCAATTGAGGCAAACGTGTGTCTATCATGGCGGCGTGTGTTGTGCGCGGCTTCATGGCGTGGGAAACGACTAGCGGAACCTCCACTCGTCAGCGCTTCCACCAAGCCTTTATCAGACAGGCGGTGAAGCATCTGAACCCGTGGCCGCTGCCAAGGTCCATCGTGGTTATGGGCAATGACCTGATACACATGTACAAAGAGATTGAAGAAGTGGTGCATCGCTGTGGGGCTATATTGCTTTATCTGCCTCCCTATTATCGAGGTCATGTTCGGCCGATTGAAGAACTGAATACAACGGCACACCAATTTGGTATTTCCTCAGTACCCCGAATTTGTACTGAAAGTGGCAATGAAACGATGCCTGCGGAGCGGAGAACACGGCTTCAATCTGTTCCACCACTGTGGATACGACTTACGAGGCGTCAATGTTGCTGCCTTCACGACAGAATAGTAACGCGGGGAGGCTGAAGGGAGGAGGATGGGCTGGGCGGGTGGAACAATTTTGTCGAGCGAAGCGATAATAATTCAGATTTAATGCATTGTTTTAGACTAAAACCAGAGTGTTCAGGTGCTATTCGCTCATGTGGTCGACGTCTTCGACATCCTCGTCTAGCTCAGGCGGTGGAAAAAACGACGCAATGACCCCACTTACCAGAAGGTTGGGGTTGGGCAACTCCAAAACGCGGCGGAACTCTGGTATGCTGAATGTTAGTGGTATCTCACGAGATCCGTTAATTTGCACGTTCACGGTGCCATATATGATTTCCTCCTCGGCCTTCTCCTCGGCCTTCTCCTCGGCCAGCATTTAGTCAAAATGGTGGGCCTGAGAGAATGTTGCTGAGTCAGGGACAGCAACGACAATTCCTTCAGGCTGACGGGCATGTTAGATCGACCAGTATGTCCGCGCAATTTCACCTACTTGGAGCTTTGGCCGCTGCTTCAAATAGCTGTCGTTAGTAGATGCCGCTTCTTGGACTCTGGCGGCTGTAGCACGTCTTGTTCCGGGTACGGTACGCCGCTCTTTCTTTGCTTCAAACACGAACACTTCTATTTCGAAAGGACATGAGTCCTTCGTTCTCTTCTGATAATTGGTATAAGCTGATGCTATAAAAGGGGCAATGTTGTCTGCTGATAGTGTTACCCAATATCGCTGCCGAGCTGTCTGGCTTGGCTTGATGTAGAAGCTTTTGTCTGGTCTAATAGTCTTTTTACGTTAGCTGTGCAAGCTTTCGATAACCTTCTCTTCAATTCTGCTACAAAGCACTTCATAGTTATCTTTTTCGCTATCAAACAAGAATAGAACCCCCCCCCCTCCCTCACGGGAACGTCTGTCCTGCTTGTCTTGGTAATTTCCCCAATCTTGACCAGGGGGCCGGCATCGAGTGCTATTATGCTGTGTCTGCATAAATGCCGTTTGCAACGTGGACATTCCCCCCAAATGGTTGCTAATTAGTGCTGCTACTATAAATCGCTTTGGTAAGAATTAGCATAAATCGGAATATCCAGAAGTTATTCTGATTGTGATGACCAAAATAGATTATTTCAGGTTGCTAAATCAATGTATAAAACGACCGATTTAGAAATGATATAAGCAAAGCAGCCGGTTTCTACAATATACTATAGCAACGTCATATCCCCCGCTTCAGGTCTGAACTCATCTCAGTATCTGAGATATGATCAGAGTTGTTAGTAACTCTAGCTTTAGAGTACTATTCTTGCACACTGTGTTGTCTAATGTTACTATCTAATACCCAAATCATAAGATGAAAATTAATATAAACTATTCCATCCACGTATGCCTTGAACCAGATTCTTCGCGTTATGTCGCTTCCCTACGTGCTGATGATACGTGGCACCCACCGAGCCCTCCTGACGCTCAATCCACTACACCCCGGCAGCGTCCAATTCATTTTGGTTGCAAAGTTCTGTGTGTAGAAGAGGTGGTGAGTGTGAGGCGAGGCGGGTAGCACATGTATCATCCAGAGTAAAGAGTGGACCGGGGAAGTCGACTTTTCCCAATGATAATCTCTGAGTGGCCGGATGGACCGTTCGGGGTTGACGTATGACTTTGCGGTTGTCATCTTGGGTGTCGTTTAGAATCACAAATCCAGGCTAGCACCACATGAGTAGTCAGATACGTGTAGGTTTTTATCAGTAGAGAGTTGTGTGCCAACGCACACTTCAGTACGCAATTTCCACTGCCTGAAAGATAATCTTTACACAACAATGTTATACACACATAATATGCCACTTATCCGGTCCTGTGGCGCATAGGGCCGTTACCCAGTCAACTGAGGTAATTCCCAAGACACTGGTCAGTCAAGGAACCTCTTCTCACTGTTAGGTCCGCACCACCCTTAATAAAGAAATAAAATACGATTAAAATAATCCTTCAATTCACACAGTAATTGGTCGCTCAGACTTAGGGGTGACTACTTTCAACCTCCCAAGAGAAAAGTAAAAAAATGAAATAGGTCGTCGTATGGAGTAACAACGCCTGAGTAAAAAACATGAAAGAGAGCAGATCAAACCTGTTCTGTGTGGCCTCACCAAGTCGTTGACCTAAGTTAGCCCATACCTATGATGAGAGACCCACGTGATGTTGTAATTCCCACGGCAACTCTAGCTACTACCACTGGAAAGCGAAACATCTCATGTTTCGCTCGTGCGAGTAGCGTGTTATCATTTTTTACTGGCTGACCTATATAAGCGATTTTTTTTGCAGGTCCAGTCTGTCCAGATGCTAGGGCTGAGTCTGGTTCTCCAGACCACATCTGAACGATCGTTTGCCGTTCTGATAGATAAATTTTTGTAGGTTTATCCTACCTACACTCCCATCGGAAGGGTACTAGGCACGGGTAAGCCTTTACGAGAGCCCCAGTGTTCAACACACGGCTGCAAGACTACATGGGAGGCAATACGCACTCTCCAGCACGTGCAAACACGCACAATAAGTCGTCGCGTATGCTTCCGATATATAATCGGCCAGCACATACTCTTGACCTTGCCGAATAAACACTCACTTGTAAGCTTCGAGTCCACCCCAGGCATGGCACCCCCAAACAAGCTTATCCAGACGTTTACCTTGAAACCGGAACTCGTTTTATGTGCTTGAATGGAAATTCTGTTCTTTTATTTGTGTTGCCCTTTGGACTTTCCTAATATGCAATCCTAATCAAGTATACAAATATCTAGTGAACTATGACCCATTATGCATCGCTAAGCGTGCCAACAGTCACCTCAACTGCCCTTGTGCTTTTTCAAGTCTGGACCGAGCGTTCAACTGCTAGGCGCACCCTTCGAAGAGTCGCTCCAGCCACCACCAAGTCGTAGTACCATAGTCCGTCGGCTGTTGACCTCTAAATGCGAATCCAGCTTCACCGATACGGACCACCCAACGTGTGTGACACCTTTAGTCATATTCAGACCGGCCGAGCGTTTCGCAGTGACTTATCCTTGTCCATCTTGCCCAGCGGTCACCACCTGTCGCGTGACCGGGCGTTCGTGGCCATGGCAACTTGACTGTAGTCATACTAGTGATTACTCGGAAAACACTACATCACAACTGCCCCTGTCGCAATGAAAGTCACGCCACTGGTGCCTGTTGTGACATTGCATCATTCTGCAACTCCCTATCATTGTGCAACCACGTCTCGTCATAAGCCCGCTCTCGTGGTGCTTTCAATTAAGCTTTGAATTGCGCGTACAAAGAAATCATGCCATAACGACCTTGCGATCCCGCGCCCTTGGAGGTAAATCTCACCATCCTGATTCCCTATCACTGTCTGGTCCATCATCACTCATCACTCTCATCCATCGTCAAGAATTTCGCTCGGGCGACACGGATCGTTTGGGTAGTCATTTACTGCCTACAGCCCCTCCATCCCCCAGCATTACTAGGATCTCCTTCCCCGATGGATTTTGGGCCCATTCTACCGCGTCAGATATCGCTGCATCCGCTGCTGCGGATCCAGCCGAAGCTCAATCCTCAGCTCTAGTTCCCTTAGCTCCTACTCACGCTGAACCTCCAGGGCCGTTCATCGTGGATTCGCAGCGCGTTCTCTTGCTGAGTCAGCCGACGCTACGGTGGATGCCATGTGTAACTGGGTCACACGCAAGCGGATACATGAAGCCACTTGGTTACGAGGGTTTTCCCATTTGTGTGCGTTCATCAATTACATTTGACAGACCAAAGGTCTGCATGCATTTAGACTTCCTATTGGTAGAAAGACAGCATCTTCCTACCAATTAAAACAGTAGGATTCTGCCAACCACTCGTTGGCAAATACCTTTCAGATATAATATCACTTTAGGATGAAACGCAAACAAAGGCATAAGTTATAAATAACAGTTCTTATTTATCGTTAATCGGCTTTGCTTTTCTTATTTTAAGTAAATCTATACTTTTGGACGAACGTTAGTTAATCTAAGTAAAAGTCGTTTACGCTTCCTCATACACGTGTGCACACGCGCCAAAGTACTGGGCACGCCCTAGGCCCATTACATATGCCGACACGACTTCTGTAATCAAGAATATCACGTAGTCGCAATATCTTTGCAAATGTATCGGTGATGGCGCTCGCTCCTGTGTCGAGCAAAATCTTTGTGTGATGGCCGTTCACCGCACCCAGCACCAGAGCTTTCACTGTTAAATCACTTTTTTTTGTCCGTCGAACAAGATTTTCGGCTGACCACCACCTCTGTCTCTCACCAAAGTTCAACTTCGTCATCGTGGAGTCGCCCTTTCGTTCGTCCCGCATCGCACTCGAATCCACGTTGAACGAAGCCTCGCTAGGGCTCCAATCAGCACCCGAGCTCTCCACACTCTCTACAAGATTTGCGCCAAGGACTGGCGTCCTCTCCTTTTTAAATACCGCTCATTTGAGTAATTTCCACGAGATTGAGGAGTTCATCGAGGACGTGCTCAAGGGCAAAGAATGTATGATGAAGTGCAACGGGGTGCCCCGATACACGCGGAACCGACGCCTTCTTACGAACGAGATTCGCAAGCAATGAGAGCAAGTCGCTGTACGAAGCGATCTTTGCAGCGAGCGACGAGCCTGCGCGCGTCATGCACGGACCTGTTATCTGCCAGCACCAGATGCTTACGAAATGATTTTAAAAGATTAAGGCTGCGTGCCTGGAGGGCAACCTCAACCCCGACTACAAACTCATTCCGCTATTGGGCTGCACGCTGGTAGTGTACCCGAAGCGGATAATCGCCCCCGGAGAGTTTGCGTGATGACTCATTTCGAGGTTCCTTCACGACCTCGGCCTTCCAGCAAGCGAACGGCAGCTTAAGGCGATGGTGCACACATTGTATTGGCCTAACATGGAGCCACCATCGTCAGGTTCGTCAAAAAGTGCATCATCTGCAAGCATACTAACCTGCGCAGCGGTAAACAAGACTACGGACTACTGCCACCACGCACATTGGAGACCGTCAATCCGTTTGAGGTTGTCCATGTCGACCCCATCAGCTCGTGCGATGGATATGGCTATGGAATCACCATGACCGACCAAGTCACCCATTGGCTTGAAGTTTGCATCCAGACCAACAAAGAATCCTTGAGGACAGTTGAAAGTTGCTGGCTCTACCGCTATCCGTTGCATCGCAAGGTCATTCACGACAAGGGCGCAAAGTTCACTGGCGAAGAGTTTCAAGAGCTTCTGGCAGCTATGGTATTAAAGCCTGGCCCATCAGCGCGAAGAACCCGCAGGTCAATGGTATCTGCGAGCGGGTGCATCTGGAGATTGGTAGCGTCATCCCCTACCACGAAGGTACTAACTGGAGGAAGGTAATTT